CACTATCTATCGAAAATTATTTAGGTATGCTGTTCACAAGATAAAAACGATTTGATATTTCAGTTTGTGTTGTGTTTCATAATATATTAATACAAATTAAATTTTGTTCTAGGATTTCTTCAACATTATTCAACCTGGACCCATTAACACATAAACATTCCAAAACTAACTGAAGTTGAACTTCAAAAGATAATTGAAAAGTTTTTGTTGGTAATTTCTAATATATTATTATTTGTTGTTACGATGTCATATGCAAACGCTCTATCAAAAAATCTGACGAAAACACCCATTGAGTTTAAAAATCTACCAGATGAAAAAATATTATTTGTTATAGATTCTTATGCGTTATCTAAAATTGACATTGATTTTAGTCCTACTAATATAGATTCGATGTCTAGTGTAGAAATAATTCGAAGGGCATACAGATTTTTTGCATTACAAAAGAATCGATTTCAAAATAACTCGTTTGGAATTTGTTTATTAACTCCACACTCATTTAATCTAGTTATGGATTTTACCTCAAATATTAATATTGTGATTGAAAAATTATCATCTATTTTGAATCAAAATGATAAGCCTGAAGAAGTTGCTGCATATGATTTTGGCCCTTTGTTAAAATATATTGGCAAATTAAGGAATCATCACAAAGATTGTTTATTTAGAGTTATCATGACTTATAACAGAGATGACTGTTTACCGATTATTGAATCACTAGACAAAAAGACATTTAATATTTTTTGTTCACCAACATTTTATTTTGATACTGTTTATGTATGTGAAAATAATATTGAAACAGATGAAATGGCTCAAAATATTTATGGTAAATTGGCTTTATTGTGTAGTTCTTGGTCTCACAAAGTGTGTGTYCAACGTAAGCCAATGGCTATTATAAATGGAATTACATCACTGTTGCCTCATCCCTATACTAGGGAACTTACTACAAAATRAAAATTGTTTTATTGTTAAAAATATTTACAGTTAAAGCATGTATATTATAAGTAAACCAAGCCTGACTATTGAGTATAAAATGTATTTTTCAATTTCTTATATATTTTTCTATCTTTATATGTACTTATTATTGTTACCTAATAAAATTTTTGTAAAGATAAGAAATTGAGRACTCAAAATGATTTTTAATACTAAAACAAATAAATAAACTTATGTAATATTCAATTTATAGGTTCATTATTATTTAATATTTTTAATTTAAATGTTTAAAAAAATATATAAATTGCGATGAATGTATAAACTATCCATAAACAATGTAATATTTAATTGCTATACATGTTCTTTATATTATATTCTATAAATCAAAAACTTATTGAAATATAAATTTGTTTATCGAATTTTGTATGATTATTAAGCAGTGATTATTGTAAATAAAATAAAATACAAGGTCAATAAATTGTTAATTTTACTTTATTTATTTGTGAAATWACAAAAGTGAAAAGGTTAGTATCAACAATTGAGATACTAATTCAATATATATTGTATCCTGTTGAAAATGTTAAGGGACCAAGTACAATAATTTAACTTTATGAATAGTAAGTCATTACAATTTTCATTGATTCATGATTGTCACTCATCATAATTGATTAATATTGAACTCGTTATATTTTTTTCATTTAACTGTCAGTCAAAGTAATCTGACAATCTTCTAATCATGATTACTTGAATGATCATATTTATTGTAAGAGTTTTTATCAATCTAACCTGTTACAAYTTTATAAAATATTTAATTATCTGTAATTGATTTTTTTTTATTATTATTATTTCTTTGGCATAACATTTTAAATGTTTGTAAAAGGCCTGGCATGAAAAAATTGTTGATTCATGATCATTATATTAGTGTACAATAAGTATTTTAAAAACAAACTAGTGTGTATGGGTATTTCTTAATGCCGAGCAAACAATACAATTAATAGATTGGTGAGGTGATTGTTATTAGTTGTTAAAATATGTGCCAGGAGCAAAACACTTTAGATACATATAACATATAGTATATATGGTATTTATCAACAGTGTTTATAATTTTAAGCTACATATTTTAGTTGGTGGCCATTTTGTAATGTAGGTCTGAGGTCTCTTATTATTAACCGGAAATTAAATACAAATTTTGAATCATGTAGAGTTATTAGTTTTAAATGGGCATTGATGTGCWCGGGGATCAGCTAGTGCCTAGTATTATATATGTATATATATTTATTTATTTATAAATAAATGTATTTACAATATGTAATATAATAAAACAATAAGTACATTTTTTTACAAGGTTTGGACTTTGGAGGCTTGAGTAAAGGGTGTGTCCATTGACACTACTTCAAAATATTATATATTTATAAACCAAATATCTATATACCATATAACAAATAACAATGAAGTTACAACAGTATCATGATTCATATTTCATTAAATGCTTTTTCATCGTAAATTCGTAATATCATGGTACTGATGGTAGCTTCTCGACTTGGTAAGTTTTTTACTTTTTTAGTTAGTCGCTCAGGTTTTCACGAATTCACGAATTACGACTCTTTCATGGACCGTGATAACAAGATAACACGAAATACGTATCACAGAATAAAACGTACTATACGTTTTACAATCATAGTTTAAACCTCGGTTATGCTTGAACCACGTCTGATTTTACCGGCCGAATTCCGTGGTTTGTAAAT